AATAAACATCTAATACATTTGTAATTAAATGTGATAATGTCTATTTTTCTTGAACATTCTTCTCAGAGATGTTAGAGGATTCAGAATTCTGGTAAACAGGGAAGGGGAGTTGTTACAAGGTGCATTTCAGGGACTATTCAGGCACTTCTCTTGCAATCCAGTTTTCATACCACTAAGACCTTCCTGGTATCAGTAGACTGCTGGGAGCTAACAGAACATTTGCTTTGATTTTTTTTTTACCTTGTCCTAACAAAATTTTAAAAAAGAATATCAAGAAAGGTAGCCAAGAATAATAGTTAAAACAATAATCAGTAATATACTTTTACATGAGCTATATTATTATTTTGAAAAAGAAAATAATACCTAACAAGGTAAGTTAAAATTTTTTTTCAGATTTCTTGGAGACATTGCATAATATTCTTATGTATAGTAATAAACAAAGATGGAATAGCTCAGAGAAGAGCCATAACAGTAGCTTTTTCTTTTTTTTTCCACCCTGCACAAGAATTTACTTGATCTTTCAAAGAAACACTGAACTTGCCATTATAGTTAACATTTTACAGACAAAAAGGGCCATTTTCATATGGGTAAATCATGGCTTAGGCAACAGGGTAGGCTTTATCGATATGGATAATCCAGTTTTTCTTCTGGATTTATTTTCTTCTATATTATTTCTCCTGTGACAAAGGATACACAGCATAAAGTTAGCCACTCCGTTGGACTTTAAGTCTACAGTCCAGAGGCTTTAGGCATCTTCCCATTGTGTGACCGCCACCACCACCCATCTCCAGGACAGTTTTGGTAGTCCTCAGCGGAGACTCAATACCCATCATTCCATAACCTCTCATTCGCCTATCTTTCCAGTTGCCAAAGACTCCATTTTACTTTCTGCCTCCATGAATTTAATAGCTGTAGGTATCAGATGGCCAATATTCTGGGAATATTGTCTCCCAGGGCTGGGTTACGTGTTCCATTTTTTAAATTCAGTAGTTTACTTCTTCTTCTTCTTCTTTTTTTTTTTGAACAAGTGACAGTCTGTATTTATGCCTAGCACAAGTTTGAGCTTTCAGCCCTGGGTATTTGAACAATGTTAATTTTATAGTCACATCAAAGGGTTTGGTTCATTTAATAACATTTCATTAGATTCTTCCAGGATCTCGTTGGACAAATTTGCATCCTGTGTATCTCCTAGTTCCCCCGTGTACTCAGTTCTAGGACGTCTTTGGTCTTTGTACTTCCAGAAGTTTGAAGAACTCATTGAGGTACCTCGTTTTGTTTAATGTTCCCAGAAAGTTTTCATGTGCAGAGCGGACTTCCATTAATCTGAATCCGAGTGTCACTGCAGTTTAACTAGACCTGTCTCCAGGGTGCCCAGAGGAAGGTTCAGCAAGAACGAAATTAGGACACCCAGAGAGGAACAGAGAAGCAACACACCAACATTGTTGTTCAGGACGCTGAGCATGGGCTTGAAGAGAATTTGACATTCACACCCCTTTCACATTAAAAAACAACAACAACAACAATAAAAAAAAAAGCTTACTGAATTTTGGGAAGAAATGTAATCTTGGGGTCCATGCAGCCAGACATGACCAGATAAGCAAGAGAACAAAGAAATGCCTTTCCTGTGCATCGATGTGTGAGATTGGTTCATGACAAGCTTCCCACAGACATGTGTGAACCAACAGACTGGCTATTAAGGACACCAGACCCATGTAGCCAAACCCTGATCACTCTTTTGATCTCAAAAGAACTTTTAGTTGCATTTACTTGTCAGCGACTGGATGCTAATTTCCTCAAAGCATCCTTGTATTTCCTCTCAATCCTCCTTTATAATAAACAAAAGGAAGCTAGTGTGAATGGGATGTTACAGCCAACTACATTTTTACAGGATTTTTAAACCTGTCCGCTTACCTTCCTATCCTTCATCACACTCCTATGTGCAAATAATGTGTGGTAAGATAATATTAGATGAGTCACTTTGATTTCGCTCCTAAGAATAAATGGAGTTTTTAACAGGTGAGTCAAATCTACTTGACTTCTCATCAGTGAGAGTTGTCCTCCATTTCTTTCCCCAGGTACTTTCTGCCCATCTCCACTAGCTGGATTTCATATGAGTCGTGGTAGATCCAGAAATTCTGATCTTAAAAGTTGTTTATAAGTGGGAGAACAGAGAGGAGGGTGGCAGACAAGTCCGATCTTCTGAAGCCTTTACTGTTTAATATGAGAAAGGATGGATTCCCCAGTGGGCCTACTGAGATACGATGGAATGTTCCTGAAAAGGCCCATCAGTGTCTCCTCTCAGGAAAGCCACTGTCAGGAGGACCCCTCAGCTGTCCCTTGCTTCCCACCTGGACTCACATAACTGTGGAAGTGGCAGCCCATCCCTGCCTGATCAGCATTCTTTGGAAAGAGGTCATAGGTCACTGAAAGCCCTCAGCTCATATTTCTTTCTCTCTCTTTCTTTTTTATTTTTATTTTTTATTTTTTGGTTTTTCAAGACGGGGCTTTGCTGTGTAGCCTTGCTGTCCTGGAACTCACTTTGTAGATCAGGCTGGTCTTGAACTCACAGAGATCCGCTTGCCTCTGCCTCCTAAGTGCTGGTGTTAAAGGCCACCACCACCCAGCTTGTCTCTATTTCTTTAGGACAATCAAGAATGTGCTTTTCTTTGTTTAGGAATTACCCCATGGATGCAAACAGCTGTTGATTAGCATTATGGGGAAGGATGATTATTAAGTTCATTTGTTTGAAATCTTACCTTCTGAAAATGATTTGTCAAAAAAAAAAGAAAAAGAAAATGATTTGTCTTACACATTCATCTTCAAATATCATATCAGTTCTACATTTCATAAATTTAAACTTACTGAGTTTGGGACCATTATTTCCAGTGAGCGCTGGGATATGTATGAAAATGTAAGTAGCAAATTATAGAGAATATCTTAGTAATTTTCTGGATTAAAAAGTGTATCATCAAAAATCATCTTAAAAGTACAAATTAGCTGTAATTCTTCACCAAATGAATAGCTCTTACCTTTGTAACCATTCTCCTACCTGGGATAAAACAATTCCTGAGATCACTGGTTCTGAATCTGTGGGTCATGACCCACTTGGGGGCATTCATTGAACGACACTTTCACAAGGGTTGCCTGTCAGATATCTTGCATGTCAGATATTTACATTATGATTCATAACAATAGAACATTGCAATTATGAAGTAGCAATGAAAATAATTTTATGGTTGGGTCACCACAACACGAAAAATTGTATTAAAGGGTTGCAACATTAGGGAGGTTGAGAACCACTGGTTTAGATGCTACTACATCCAGTTGCAACACAGAGCCATGCCACTAGGGGCGCCAAGAGACCGCCATCAAAGAGGTGTTTACAACTGGGGGTTCAAACAGAAGCTCAAGTGATTTCGCTTTGAAAGACCTTGGCACATAGACGATCCTCGGTCAATATTTACTCAGTGATTAAACTCAAGAAGCAGCTGAGTGCTTCTAGAGGGAAGGGTTGTGATGCTAGCTCCGTGAAGGATGACAAAGGCTAAAGTCGCTTTTTGAGGAATCCACAGTGTGGAGGATACTTGAGTTGGTGGGTAAGAAGCTCGGGTCTTCCATCTAGCTCAGTTTCTGCTGCAAACTTCGGTTTGTGGACAAGTTAGTGGAGGGGGGATGTCAGCTGTCGCTCTGTAAATGGAAGGGTGGTTAGTGGTTATTCTTTTCCACACTCATTCTTTTTTTTTTTCTTTTTTCTTTTGGTTTTTCGAGACGGTTTCTCTGTGAAGCTTTGCACCTTTCCTGGAACTCACTTGGTAGCCCAGGCTGGCCTCCAACTCACAGAGATCCATCTGCCTCTGCCTCCCGAGTGCTGGGATTAAAGGCGTGCACCACCACCGCCCGGCCACACTCATTCTTATAAAGAAGTGTAGTATATACACCGCGGAAAAGTAGATCATCGTGGGGGAGGGTCCAAGAAAGCAGCCTTGAGCTAGTTTGCTTTGCCACTCTGTGGTCCCCACAACACAACTTACAAGTGGGTAGCCTTAATGATCTGTTAGGTCCCGCTCCTGCTGTGACGTCTGAGGACAGTGTTAATAATCAATGTTACAAGGAGCTGTCTGGAGGTCTGTGGAGGACGTTTGAAGGCATCTTTTGAGAAGTGCTTTTTCAGAGTGTCATCTTGTCCCTCAAACCTACTCTGGTCCGTGCAGTCTCCAGCTCAGTCATGCCACAATCTATGTTGTCTCCTAAACCTGAAATCTGGGAACTGTCCAAACCTTGCTCATGGCCCACACCCAATAAGCCACTAATTTCTCTCAGCCCCAACTATTTGTTAAAGTTACCAGCCATATTTCCAATCACAGAACTCAGGCCCTTCTCTCATGCCTTGGGGCAGCCCCAACAAACTGGACTGTCAGTTCCTACTGGGTGTCCTCTGCAAAATGTCTCCCCAGTTCCTAAGACAGTTCTCCTGGAGGGCAGGGAATGCTCTCCAACGATGGCCTCACCACCTTCCCAGCCCCCACCTCTGTCTCATGCTTTGCAGAGATCAGGCCACCTCTGATTTTTTGGCATACAGTTCTTTGGCTGAGTTTCTTTGATCCTATGTGCTTGGGACCAGAAGTCTTTCAGTTTTTGAGTTTGATTTTGGATTTTGGAATATTTATATAGACTTTAATAGTTAGGTATTACTAATCTGAAAAGCCCAAATCCAAAATGCTCTAAAATCAGGAGATTAGATTCATGTTGATGCTGAAAAACTTTCAGATTAGAGCATTTTGAATTTTTATACTCAGGATGGTCAACCTGTATCACGTAGCTTTATATCCCCATTCCTTGGGTCATCACGTAGCTTTATATCCCCATTCCTTGGGTCATGGTGATTTTTCTCTCTAATTCTTTCTCTGCCTCAGCCTCCAAAGTGATGGAATTACAGACATGAGCTATCACTTGTAGGTCTAATTTACAATATTTCTTTAATCTCTGTAGAAAGCCTATGGTGACCCTTGGCTAAGCTAAGGGCCCCACTTTGTTAGGATTTTGTGTTACTACCACGTTAGTTAAAATGATCTACACAGAAGTATCTCTTCTACTGCGCTATGATTCATTGGGAGATGTTCCTTCCATTTTCATTTAATTTTTTTTCTCTCAAATTTATTTATTTTAATTGTCAGATAAAATTGTATCATGTCCAGGATAGAAGAGGTCTCAGGGGCAAGCAGAAGGTTGTTGTTGTGAAGTACAATATTTAAAAAAATTTAAGAGCTAAATTTTCAAATTAAACGTGTTTATTGTATTCTAGTATTAGCATAAAGCTATAGAAAGCTTTGGATGCACTGTTTTCTTCTGAAAATTCTGCCTCATGTAAGAAGAGAAAAGTAAAAGTATACAAATGAATGATTTTGGACATTCAGTCAAGGAGGCCTCTGGTCTTTTGAGGTTGTTCATTTTTCCTAACATGGGTGATGAAATGCCCCAATATTTCCTGATGCTGGCATACTTGGGAATCCCTCAGTAAAGCAGTCTTGCCCATGATGCCGTCCTCTCCTTGTCTAGCAGCAAGACTACCTATGACCTGCATGACACCCCTCTGGGTGATCTTTCCCCAAAGGCACAAAGCCTAGCAATAGCCTTGCCTTTGTGCTAAGAAAAAGGTGACCCCAGAGAGAGCAGAACTGGATTTGAGTCCTTTGGCCAGGCCCCTTTGTGGAGTGCACACACTTAACTCTGGGTGGAGCATGCAAAGAACCCTCAGTGTTTTCTCCAGCGTGACCCGAGGCTACAATTGGGCTGTTTTGTTACACCTTGTTCACTGTCCAGATGAGGCTGGACAGTGACATACTGGCATGTTCTCTGAGCTCTGACCCAGAGAAATTCCTCCTTTGTCACTTTGTATGGTTTATTTTGCTAAGTGACAGAGTTGAATCTGTCACAGCACGAGCCAAACAAAATGGTGATTCGCCAGCCCACCGGTGTGGAGTCCCTTCCTTCCAACCATTCTGCAGTAATCATTATTAGAGAGCAGTTATTTATTGGTCTTCACGCATAAAATGAACAAGACCTTAGCTAGATGTTTATTGTTTAGGATGTGTATATTTTTTTTTCAAGACTTTAGCCCCTGACACTTGCTGAAATCACTATTATGAAGCACTGAATTTGTACAATGGGGCGGTGTTCTGGTCCCTGACCCGTGGAAAGCTGCACTGATGTACACCCTTTCATTCTACTGACTAGATGGAGCTGCTCGAACGGTGCACAGGCTGAAGCAGCCACCAAGTTCCACCAGGGGCTGCTGTTGAACTTCTGAAAAAATATCGTAATTCGGAGAAGAAGGTGGGTAGTGGTGAATGGGGAGGGAGGCGAGGGGCTGGTGGGGGAGTGGTGGAAAAAAAAAATCTTGGATGCAAAGCTGACATTTCTGTCTGAGGTGAGGCATGCTTTGCTGATGCCACACATGGAATGTTTCGGAAGTGTCAGTAATAAATACTTCTATCAGGAATCTTCATATTCCACAGCTCTACTTATCATACCCCAAGGAGACTCATACAAAGACGTAGCTGTCAGGGGCTAATTTGGGATCTGAAAACTAGGGTGGTTGTCAGGCATCTTTTCCCATGTGTGATATTTATCTTCTCTCACAAACAAACTGAGTGCAGGGTTTTTAATTAATTTCCAAGTGTCTCCCATGGTAATTTTCTCTCTAATATATTAATACGATGATTTAAGCCTTCATTCAGGAGCAGACTCTCGGTTGAAAATCACCAAAGGCTTAGATGGTGTTTAGTGTTATCGATAAGGTACACGTTCGTTGGTTTGCAGGGGATCAATAAAGTTGCCCTTTCCTCATTTTTATTTTTAGAAGCATCAATGGGGTTTTATCTCTTTTAAGTATATTAAGGAAATCGTGGGCCCGTTGGTTTTATTTTTCTCCTTTTGATTGGAGGTGGCTCTCAGGCTGTTTCTCTTATTGTTTGTATGTCAGGAAAAGCTCTTGATTTGATGAGGAACAAATGAATTTTTTAAAAGTATTCCCCTTCAGAAAAACTTGATCTTTCTGTCTTTCTCTCTCTCTCTCTCTCTCTCTCTCTCTCTCTCTCTCTCTCTCTCTCTGTCTCTCTCTCTCTGTCTCTAGAACAAAGGTCCTAGAAAAAGAACATAGAAAGGGTCACATCTCAGAAGCAGGTAAGTCAGTTAGTTGAAGAATGAGTGAAATAATCCTTTTCTCTGCCCAATATCCCTTTCAATGCGAAGCATGAAATAAAAATAACAAATTGGATGCATACTATTTGTACGAAGTGTGAAATAAAAATAATAACGAGTTGAAGGTATACTGGTGCTAATTGTCCATATTTAAACAGTTCACACTGTATGGGCAAATCTATATTCTCTAAATATGTTGTGTATGATATAATTTTATCTGTCAATTGAAATAGATGCATTTGAGAGGAAAAAATAAAATGAAAAATGAAAGTGACATCTTTCATAGAAGCTACATTTAGAGTTTTATTTATTTGTTTTTGGTAATGCTTACTTTTTTATTTAATATTATTATACTCTTGGCTCAAAGGTTGCCTCAAATTTCATAAGAATTTCCCCCCTCAATTCACCTTTATCATATTTGATTACTGGGGTGATAGGGCAGTCCTTGAAGAAATATTTATCTTTCTCTGAAAACGACATTCAAAAATCACTGGAAAAGTTGTAGCAATAAAAGGAAATCCCCAGAATTTATACAGGGCTTTTAATTACCTGCAATTAAAGTTTAAAGCCTTAGAAATTCAGGAAACTCACTCTTATAGGTCTGGAGATTAAATGTGTCATTTTTTTTCCCTGTGTGAGAATTTCATTCTTTCTTTCTAACCTGTCACACAAACATTTCCCCTAGATCCATTAGGCAAATTTAACAACCAAATATCTACCTAGTGAGAAATGAAATTTTAAAGTTCAGCTGCCCTGCGAATAATTTGTATCCCCCCTACTCTCTATCCCTGGCCTGCATGGTTGTATGTAAGTGCCACAGAATCAACCTTGTGAGCACAGATTGATCCTGGCAGCTTTTATTTTATGTGATTTCCAAGGATCGGTCTCGAAATGCTTCTTAATTGAAATAGTTCTCCTCCTTTGCCTTTTATTTTATTGTCCGTTCCTTCTTGACACCTTGTACATCGCATCAGAAGCTATTTTAGACGCATGAAATGACAGCTTTCTCAGAGCCGACTGATAGACCTGCGCGTCTTCAAGCAGGAGTCGCTGGCGCCAGCTTCGCGCAGAAGCGTCCCCTGCACGATGGGCGAGTCACCTAGAAAGGCAACCTAAACTGCAGGTTAATCATCCAGCCCTGGCTGGTGGCACTTCTCCCCGGCCCTGCATCCTACCAAAGAGCAAGAAAGCCAAGAACTGTTTTCTCTTTGCTATTTAATTTAACAGAATCTGGGCTCAACGTTAGTTGGAGATGATATTTCCTCTCGGCTGGGATGGAAAGGCTACTGTAATTTAGCAGTACATTGTGAGGAAAAACTAAGGCAGCTCCGCGGCATCTTTCTCCCCTCTTGTATCGTTCCCTGGATGGGAGAACACACAAAGTGGTGGCTGTGTGGCTCAGGCATGCACAGATAACTCACGTGTTACAGAGTCCGAGGGAAGAAGCTATGTGATGTTTTGGACTTAGAAAAGGGTTATTTGTGAAAAAATGTATTTGTATCAGTGAGTTGAAAAGTATACATAAAAGGAAGCAGGATACAAAAATATTGTAGCGAGGAACAAATGGTTCAGCGGATCAGACCCATCCTCACTAGAGGTAGAGAGCAAACATCTCCTAATGGGATGGGTAACAAGATGAGTATTCTACATTTGTTTTTCGGTTCTACCTAAGTCTTTGTAACTTTACAATGTAAGATCAGAAATTGGAGCCAATTACCATAATCTGTGGTGGTTTGGTGGGAACATGTTCTACATCAGACAGTTAAAAGGGTGGATTGCTATTAGGGCATGTTAATGCCCTTGATAATGTCTCTCCTCGCTTTGTAATGGCTCTTGCTGAAGTATAGAATTCTTTTATCTTCTTATTACATTATGCAAAAACTTGAATTGAAAAGATATTTGCAGGAACATTTAAAGTAGTGCATCAATCAGCTTCAAAGAAGAGAAAATGTTCTCGGAATAGCTTATAAAAGGATAACTGTCACTTTTATTTTGGGGGAACAAAGGCGACAACGCAGAGAGCATTTTATTGTAGAAGCACATGGCGCGATTCAATAAATACGCCGTGCAAATAGGAGAGAGAAGAAACTTCGTAATTATCTTATGACTTAAGCGTCGTCGTTTAAGCAACACTTTCAAAATGCAGCCGGCGACGAAGCACTCTGGCTGCTGGGTCCTGAGTTCTAGCCTGTGAGTCCCCGTGAGGTGATAACTGTCTTTGATAACACAGGATTTGAATGGATTAGTCATGCTCTGTTTTTAATACTTCTCAGAATGCTGCAGAAAGGCGTGTGGGGAGGGCCTTAGCAAAAACCTTAACAGCCACTTAATGGCGTAAGCTTCTCAAAATGGGTTTCCTTATGTGCGTGGTATTCAATTGTTGCTCTTCTTGTGGCTGCTGCTAAGACAGCTTTGGATTGGGGTTTAACTGCGTTGTGACTTGGGTTAGCATGTCAGGATGTTCCTTGTGTATTGACAGAAATCTCTCTGTAGCATAATTCCAGACCTTTAGGATCAGGGCTGCTTTGCGGCTGTTCATTAAGGATATTTACACCTTCCTTAAAATGAGAAATTTCTTGTTAGCTTGCAAGCATGCTTTGGAAACTATAAATGCTAACTATGCAATCTTATTTTTCAAGTATGTCTCCCAGGCTTTAGTCCTCAACCTGATGATGAAGACTCTGTTCAGCAAGGCTGAAGAGGCTGCCACCCAACCATCTGATTTTTTTTTTTCTGTACTGACATGTGAGCTTAGGGCCTCTCATGCAGGCTAGGCAAGGGGTCCTTTGCTAAGCCACACCCCCAGACTGAATTATTTAAAGGAAACACTCAGACCTGGCACCTGGAAAACATAATATACATTTCTACAATAGGAAAAACCACCTATAGAATCCAAATTTTCCATACTGCGTGTTTCCACATACATAGACATACATCTAGGTGTGGAGAGTCAGGTCCCTGTATGCAGAAACTATGTGGTGAGTGCCTGTTGAGGTTTTTTTTTTTTAAATCCTAATCAGAAAAAAATATATCTCTGTTTTCAGACATAACTAAAGGATGTTATGCCTTATTAGATGTAGTGATACAATCTTTTCCAAGACTCAAATTCTTCCAAGATTCAAAAAATTTTCATTTGAAGTCGAATAACCAGGCTAATTCACTCCCTCATGCCGTCGTAGCCTAGGAAATTATATTAATGCTATGACATTTCTAAGAAATAATGCTCATTTATTTAAAAACTGCAAATATAGCACCTTATAATAAGAAATCAGCTCATGACTTTGTGACATCATTTTGCTCACATCTTATTTCTCATGGCTATTGTACACGGTACCCAATTCATTAAAATAATTTTCTCCTCATTTCAGTGGGCCTCACACGGGTTCTCTGTAGAGCGTCACTCAGGCAGTGCTCTCAGAGATGCCCCACGTTCTCATTGTTCCTTTCCCTTGGTCTGCTGGGGAACACTCTCATCTCGAAAGTACAGGGAAAATTATCTCATAAAAGAAATTTAATAACAACAGAACTTCTGAGATTTTGAAAATACAGAATTCTTAAGTTATTGAACTATGGGAAAAGCTGTAATTTATAACCAGCAAGTTAGAATGTTGTACACATCTGTGTACTGTTTCAGAAAATAAAGGTTGTTACCATAGCAACTGCCACATAATATGGACATACGTTATTTGTGAGATGCCAGGCTTCGTGTTAAAAAAAAAAATCTCTCTTCTCGTGTCTGCTCCCTGATGTTTCAAGGATTCCCACCCCCTCTTTACTATTACATGGGGTTTTCTCCGTTAGCATTCTCATTTCCCCTCATTTTCATTTTTAATACTTTGTTAGCTCAATTGATGAGTTTGCGCAGCACAGCTATGCTTGGCCAAGACATTTTCTCCCTTGTGTTTGGTTAATTTTTAAGGAATTCCAGTTAATTTTTTAAGGTGTAGAAACATGTAGGTATTAAGAATATGCCATTACTGTGAATATGACACATAAATATCCCTGCTGACATTGTGTTTATTTGGCCTGTTGAGTGTTTCACAATTTTGAGTTACATGACCATTATGGTATTTTACCACTTTAAAAAAACATTACCTAGAAGCATACATTTATTCTATAAGTGTAATTTTTCATTTAAAGATTTGTATGATGTGTTCAGTCTCATTTGAAATCAATCATTATTAAGATAATTTTGAATATTTTATTTTATTGTATATATTTAAAAAATTTTAACTTTTTGAGAATTTCATACATAAGTATTATATTTACATAATTTCCACTCTCCACCTCCTCCCTCTCAGGAGGTCCCCTCCAATTCATAATCTCTTGTTTAATTATCTTTATCACACACACATATATGTATGCACATATGTATATATAAATAAATACTGTCTGCTGAGTCTACTTAGTGATGTTCATGTGTATATGTGTTTAGGGCTCACCACATATTGGGGGATTCAAACAATTTTATGATGACAAAATTTGACTACTTAAAGATAACAGAAGTTAGGTATGATAGTTCATGTCTGTAACCAAGCATTTGGGAAGCCAAGGCAGGAGAACCAATCCGTAGCTTCAAGATCCACGTGGGGTATAGAGTCAGATCTTGTTTCAAAAAAAGAAAAAGAAAATGAAGAAAAAAAAGGGAAGGAAAGAAAGAAATCAGCTCATGACGTTATTTGTGACATCATTTTGCTCACATCTTATTTCTCATGGCTATTGTACACGGTACCCAATTCATTAAAATAATTGTCTCCTCATTTCAGTGGGCCTCACACGGGTTCTCTCAGGCAGTGCTCTCAGAGATGCCCCACGTTCTCATTGTTCCTTTCTCTTGGTCTGCTGGGGAACACTCTCGTCTCGAAAGTACAGGGAAAATTACCTCATAAAAGAAATTTAATAACAACAGATTTCTAGTCTTTCTTGGAGAATGATACTAATTACTTTTCTTATGACTGTGACAAAATACCCGAGAGGAGCGACTCGGGAAGTTTAATTTCATTTCTTTGTCCCTCCTCACCCTGAAGGGATTAAGTCCGACCACGATGGTGAAGGCTTGGCAGCTGGGGTTCTGGTCTGTGGTGGTCTGCCCTCCAGAGCTGTCAGACCAAGAAGCCGGGCAGACTAGAATTGGAAGTAGAAGTGAAGTCCACCTTCCAAGCTTGCCCCTCGTAGACTACTTCAGCTAGGAAGGCCACCTTTCTTTCTTTTCTTCTTTTTTTTTCATGCATACCCATTTTATTCAAACAGGTGTTTAATTTTACCTTTTCTTTTTTTATTAAGAATTTTTTTTATTCATTTTACATACCAATCACAGATCCCCCTCCTCCCTCCTCCTGCCCCTTCAGCCTCCCCCCCAAACCCCCCATTCCCTCCCACAAGAAGGTAAGGGGAACGCCACATTTCTTAAAGGTCCCACGGCCCCTAAAGCATGACCACCAGCTGGGGACCACGTGTTTGAGCACTCGATCCTGTGAGGGGATGGTACCACCATAACTGGAAGTGCCCCTCCCCCCCAAAAAAATTGACAAACAGTTCTGAAATCTTGATTGGAAATTTTATTTTTGTTTATTTTTTTATTTGAGACAGGATCTCAGGTAGGCTAGGCTGACCTTGAAACTCATTACGTAGCTAAAGATAGCCTTCAATACTTGCTCCTTGGGTCTTGCCCTCCAAATGCTGGGAGAATAGGTGTGATCATTGCCGGTCTTGCACTCTCCATTTTAATATCAATACAAATCCTATTTGTTTCATGGGTAGAAGAATGAATCAATACATGGAAGGAAGTTAACAATGGAATCTTAGAGAACCATTCAGTACGGCTGGATACGGGATCAGAATGTCCAACTAGTTTGAAATAAAAGCCTGAAAACAGTTCCACAATAGAAAGATGGTGTTTGGCGCTTGTTGAGGCCACAGTGTAGCAAAGGCCTTTGAAGGGAAGACATATTTGGGGTGATGAACTTCATTGTGCATCACAACTTTGCAGTTCAGAGTCAAGATATCATTGCCATCATTGACATATTTTATGAGGTGGATGTTTTCCGGAGAGTGTTACCACCTGCATTTTCTTTTACACAGGGAAGATACTAGGTACTGACTTTCTTTAAGACACCTACCTCTGAATCTGCACAATGGTTCTCTGTCATAAAAGGTATTTTATCTGTCACAAAAACAAATACTTCTGGTGAAAAAAATGACAGAATGAATTATACTCCTTTTTTCTTAAAAAAAAAAAACGTAATAGTTTAATCAATAAACATTTATTAAACATCTACCAGGTGCCAGGCAGAGCTCTTGGGATATAACGGTGGATAAGTGAGTGTCCCTGCCTCCAGAGACCCGGCACACCTAACTGGAGTGAAACCATCATGAGTCACACGCTGGGTGGGACCTGTTTCCTCAGGTCTCAGCTTCAACTACACAGTAACAGTGACCAAGACCCACACCTATGGAACACTTCCTTCCTTCCTTTTCTTTTTTAATTAAGAAATTTTTTATTCATTTTACATCCCAATCAAAGATCCCCCCTCTTCCCTCCTCCCGCCCCTCCAGCCTTCCCCCCCCACCCATCCCCCATTCCCTCCTACAAGAAGGTAAGGCCTTCCATGGGGAGTCAGCCTGGTACACTTAGTAGAGGCAGGTCCAAGCCCCTCCCCCTGCCTCAAGGCTGTGCCAGGGGACACTTCCTTTCTGACAGGCCCTTCAGCTGTCACACAATAGTGCCACATGGGTTTCCTGGCAAGAAACTGAGGCTGAGAGAGTCTGAAAAGCTTGCTTAAGATCACAGGATTTTCCAGCCTGTTCAACACACCTGTGATAGTGCATGCTGACTTCTGTCTGAGTTGCTACCGTCCCCATCCTCGGCACCTTCCGCTCTCACTGGGCTCCATGGCAGCTGCCTGCCTGACTCCCCGGCTGCCACTTTGCTCCGATCACCTCAAAGTTCCTGGAGTACCTTCAAAGAAGACATGGTAGGCCATGTGTCTCTCCTGCTTCAAACCTTCCAGTGGGTTCCCATTCCACGTAGAATATAATCTACAAATCTTTTTCATGGCTCACAAGAGTTTGCCACCCTGTTTCCCCCTTAAGCCCCGATACCCTTGCTGTCATCCATACTTCCTTCACTGTGCCTTAGGCGAAAGGTCAGCAACTTTTTCTAACAAAGGTAAGATAGGAAATTATTCTTGGTTTTGAAGCCATACAGCTCTTAGTGTACGCACACACATGCATGTATGTGTGTGCATGCATGTGAACATCAGAGAATGACCTTAGGGGTTCCCCAGGTGCCTGTCCCTTTTCCCTCCCTCCCCAGAGATCTCTCATTTGCAACTCACCAAGTAGGCTAGGCTGGCTGACCAGCAGGTCCTGGGGATGCTGCCTCTCTTCGCTTTCCCTATCAGCCCACCCCCAGGCATTGGGATTACAAGCACGCCTGGCTGTTTTTATGTGGGTTCTGGGGATCGAACTCAGGTCCTGAGGCTTGCATAGCAAGCACTCTGCTGTCTGAGCCATGTCTATGTCTCCAGCACAGGCTATTCAACTCTGCTGACAAAGCACAAAAGTAGCTGTAGATGCTAAATGAACAAATGGATGAGATGAGTGAGGATGGACTCCAGTGGGACCTCATTTACAAAGGGAGTAGGCTGGCTTGGTCTACAGACCGTGATTTGTTGGCTCCTGTTTTAGATTTACTAGTCTCCCTTTGGTTCCTTCCATCTGCCCGAGCCTTTCCTACCTCAAGAGTCCTGCACTTTCTCCAGTTCATCCCAACTTTGTCCTGATGTTGAGCACTCACTGTGGATGACCGCTCCCCTCAGCCCCCCCTTTTTTTGCTGTCATGTCTAAGTTGTCCCACTCTATTCCATTGTTAGTCATTGGTACCCAGGTTTTCTCAACTCTCTATCATGAACAAGTTTATTAATCCAGTTACTTGCTTGCTCATGGTCTGTGCACCACCCAGTTGATGCAGTCCATGCAGTGTGAAGAAGAATCTCTTTGACTTTGCTCTTTCAGGTATTTCTACTAGCCAGAGCAGAGTCAGTAGCGTGGATACTCAGTACATGGCTCACATGAATATAACACAAGGCCCTGAATCAAAAACATACACTTTTAATGATTTCTCAACATTCCCTTCTTGTGACTTGTCAGGCTAGTGATAGTTTGAGGGTTTTGTCACACTGCCCTCACAGAGGACTCCTGCCTGTTGGCAAAGCCCATCTTCCATGTATTGCTGATATCCAGGAAATTTCTCTCATGGGTGTAGTGCGAATCTATTTAGTGTAATCAATAAAAACCAGGAGTCAAATGTTGGGGTAATAACCTGAAAGATCAGAGAAGCAAAGGAGCAGCCACTAGTGACTCTTTACCTCTCTAGATCCTCAGACCGAAAGGGCCAAGATCCTGTCTCCATTCACCTTATATTCCTGTCTCCACCTCCCAATTGTGCTGGGATCAAAGGCATGAGCCTCCCAAGGGCTGGGATCAAAGGCATGAGCCTCCCAAGGGCTGGGATCAAAGGCATGAGCCTCCCAAGGGCTGGGATCAAAGGCATGAGCCTCCCAAGGGCTGGGATCAAAGGCATGAGCCACCACTGCCTGGCCTCTGTGGTTAGCTAGTGGCTAGCTCTGCTCTCTAGGCAAGCCTTATTGTCAGAACGCAAACAAAACACCACCC